GAGGAGTGAGGGCAGCTGCTGGACATCCCAGGAGGAGAGTGGGGAGTAGTGGGTGGGTCATGTGGTCAGGTCAGTGTGGGAGCAAGGGGAGCTGCAGGTGACATTGGAGGGCAGCGAGTACCAGATGAAGGTGTCAGGGCTTTGTCCTGGATGCAGTAGGAGCCTACAGAGAGTTCCAAGCAGAGCACTGAGATGTTTTTGAGACAATCCAACCAGCTAATTTGGCGTCGAGGTAGAGGGGTGATAGAGACAAGAGACAGGGGACCCAGCACATCCTATATCGGCTTCACCCAAGCTCTCCACTGGCGTAAACAGTGTCATTGTGTGAATGAGGAAACGATGCCTTTTTGTGCAGACAAGTCGCACTATGATGCTCTTTGCTTTGGGTATGCACAGTCCTGTAGCAGGCGCGTGACTGATGAGCTGTGTGAGCTGGGCTCCAGCCATCCCCCCCATTGACCCCGGGTCAACCAACAAAACCTTATGTGGCATCCTTATCTGTCCCCACCCCCTAATGCTGGGTCATGCCACACAGCCCAGTTTATTTTTGTCACAACGCTTATCTCAAGTTGTCATTGTTGTGTTTATTTATTTACTTTCTTGTTGATTGGCTAGTCCCTGCCGAACCGCACCCCCCCCCCCCAATGTAACCCGGGAGAGCATTTCGGTCCTATTCAATACTGTGTCCTGAGCTGTTGGCACTGGGTCTGGCTCAGTTACTCTCAACGAATATTTATTGCATGAATGAATAAATGAGCACTTCCTATGTGCCCAGCATTGAGCTAACCCTCTTTACATGAATGATCATTTATTCCCCGACACCCCGTGGGTAGACGCTGTTTCTTGAGAGTTGGTTTCCCATATACAGATGAGACGGAGGTTCACAGAAGTGATGTCACCCAGCTAGGGAGTGGCCGGGGTGGTGACGAAATAGGACAGGGGCGGTAGGGATGGAGGAGAGGGCACCTCTAGGAGAGGCGAGGCCTCATGGCTGACAGAGACTTGGAGATGGAGGCTGGGAGGGTGTGTTGCCATGGTGATGGTGATGGTGGGATTTTTTTGGTCAGGAGGAAGCTGGGCAAATCAAGGCAGGCAAATGCGAGGGAGCTTTGGCTGTCCAGGGGAAAATGGGTAGCAGGTTATTGAATCCTAGAGGGTCAGAATTTAAAGTCTTCTCAGAATCTTCTGTTCTAATCCCTTTGTTTTACAATGGGGCGAGGTCAGCCCTTGGGGTCCTATTCAGTTGGTCACAGCCACAGCCTGGGTCATTTGCCGCCTGCCTGCCATCCTCACGTGTTCTTCGCTGCACCCTTCTCTCTGCCTCTTTCCAGACATCTCAGATACGGCCCATCTGTCAATCTGTTGGGAGGCAGGTGGTGAAGAACTGAGCAGAGCTTTGGAATGAGACAGACAAGGGTTTGAATCCTGGCTCTGCTCCCACTAGCTGTGCACCTCTGGGCATTTATTTAATATCTCTGAGCCTCTGTTTCCTCATCTGTAAACAGAAGGAATAATGTGTACACTGCTGAGTTATCGTGAGGATTAACAGTAACGTATGCACGTTACCTGGTGCAGAGTGGAACCTGAGCATCCTCATTCATTTCTGACATCAGTATCTGGCCTTAGAGAGAGTTGAGGCTCGGGGCAGAGCCACTGCTGGGGTGGAGGTGTGGCTGGGGGAGGAGCCCCAGATGCCCAGGCTCCAGCCGATAATATAGTCCAGGCCCCACCTACTCAGGAGACTTGCAGGAACGATGCTTTCTGACCCGGTGCCTGGGACCCCTGGAATCCCAGGTTGCTCAGCCTGTCTTGGCCAGGGCACTGCAGGGATGTGACATGGACACTAACACCAGGCTTCGCTATCCTGATCCCCATCCTCAGGCTGGCTACCTGGTTGGAGCCGCCCTCCTCCCAGATCCCAGGACCATTGCCCTCAGGCCCAGCAAACTGTGCAAATTCCCAAGAGCCTTCCAGAGCCAGGGCCTCCCTCCTGGGCAGGGCAGGGAGAGGGCTAGGGGTCCCTTGCCTATGTGTGCATTTCCTATCAGTCTCAGAGGGGAGGGGAGCTTTGGGCCTCCCAAATAGATTTTCCTTTGGAGGGAAGATCTAGGAGTCAAGCTGATGGGATAGCTAAGCTGGAAGTCCTTTCGAGGTCAGACCAGATTCAGTGACTTGCTCAAAGTCACAGAGCAAATCGAGGACGGAACTAGAATGGAATTCAGGCCAAAGGATTCTAGGTTTCAAGCATGTTCTAGTTTGTTCCAGCATCTGCATCCTGGGAGTGGTGGGGATGGACTCGGAAGAGGCTGGAAAGAGAGTTGACTCTAAAGTGTGGGGGAGCAGGCAGGACCTGGGTGGCAGAGGAGATCCCAGCTGACTTTTGCAGATGAGAGAGAGAGTGGACTCTGGACCCCAGATGTTGGGTCCCAGAGGGGTGGCCAAGGGGACTTCCAGGGAAAAGGAATAATATCAACTCTTCAGGAGGAGCACTTACTATTTTTCACACACTGTTCTAAGCCCCTTACATAGATTAACTCATTTATTGCTTCAGAGCCCAGAATATGGGGTTTTTGTTGCTTTCACTTTGCAGAAGAAACTAGGTTTCAGAAAGATTAGGTGACAGGTCCAAGACCTCACAGCAGGTGGCATAGCTGATGCTTAAACCCAGAGGCATCTGACTCCAGAGTCAGGGTGCTCGGCCACTGCCTCCCAAACCGCCACATTCACAAAGTCCTATTGCCCCCATTTCACAGATGTGGAGATCAAGGCCAGTGGGATGGTCGCTTTCTCCCGGGTCTGGCCTACTCTCTGACGCCAGCTCCACTTCCTTGTTGTCTGGCCCCTCTAGCTACTTCAGGAGCTCAAGAAGGTTAACTTCACCCTCCTGGGCCACCAAATCTTCTTCGACCAGGAAGGGGACCTGCCTATGCCCATAGAGGTCATCCAGTGGCAATGGAACGAGAGCCGGAGCCCATTCCAGAGCATCGCCTTCTACCACCCCACGGAGCGGCTGCTGAAGGACGTGGACAAAGTCTCCTGGCACACCCCCGATGACTCGGTCAGCTCTCGGGGGCTGGGGGGAGGGGCTCACGCAGGGGTGGCCAGGGACGTTATTTTTATCGAGGAGAATACCTGAGATTCATTACCAATAGCTGCTGTGGGCATCTTGTCTGGGGTCCTCTCCTTCCACCATTGATTGAGAACAGAAAGCTCAGGGCTTTCTGTCCCCTCAGGACCGCGGGGATCAGGGGCCTCTGCCAAGTGAACATGTACTGGGCACATGTGTGCGAGGGGCTTCAGTTCTCATGTCAGCCCTAGGCAGCAGATGCCGCTAGTCTCCCAATTTTATGGGCTGGAAAACAGAAGGCACAGAGGGATTGCACGACCCGCCGAAGGCCACACAGCATGTCCATGGTGGAGATTCTCTCTGTCAATTAATACTCATCCTGTCAATTAATACTCATGTTTTCGGTACGGTAGCTATGCCTTCAACTGTATCTGACAATCTATGGTTCCTGTGTTTTACCCTCCTTAGATAATAAGCTGTCATTGCTCCGCTGGTGTGGGAAGAGTGGGGGAGGGGATCTAGGGATAGCAAAGCTCCTCAAAGACCTCTCGTCACTCTCTCACTGCCCCACGCTTTATCCCCAGTTCCAGAGCTACCTGGTGCTGCTAGTTCCGGAGCTTCTTGGGGATTCTCATGGCGTAAATTGGGTTGGTGTCTTTATTCATTTGTTAGGGCTGCCATAAGATAGTACCACAAACTGGAAGGCTCAAGCGACAGAAATGGATTGTCTCATGGTTCTGGAGGCTGAAGTCTAAGATCAAGGTGTTGGGAGGCTTGGTTCTTTCTGAGGGCCCTGAGGGAGAGTCTCCAGGCCTCTCTCCTCGCTTCTGGCCGCTGTTGACTTTCCTTGGCTTATAGAAGCATCACCCTGATCTCTGCCTTCTTCACATGGTGCTCCTTCTGTGGGTGTATCTGTCTCCATGCCCCCCCTTTTTACAAGGACATCGGTCATCTTGGAGTGGGGACCTACCTGCGCCACATGACTTTAAATTAACTAGTTATGATAGGATCCCGTTTCCAAGTAAGGTCACATTTTAGGTACTGGGGGGTTAGGACTTCACCACAGGAATTTTGAGGGGACACAATTCAACAGATATCAGTGTCCTAGCCTGGCTTTTCCTCAGGAAGCAGACACCAAACAAGGGTTTATGTGCAGTTGGGTTATCCCAGGATATGATGTAGGGGAACAGGAGTAAGGGGACAGTTCAACAGAGAAAGAGGGACAGTCAGCACAGGGGAATGCTCTGAGTTTTGCCAGAACCTTCTGAGGAGCCACTTTGGAATTGTCTCCCAAGGGAGGGAAGAAGAGGACATCGGTCCATTGGCTCTGTACCTTCCCTCATCCCCTCAGTGATCAAAGGTCACCTCATGGGGTGCCACACCTTGAACTTCCAGGTCACATATGATGAGTGCCAAAGCACTAACCACAGGCACCTCACGCTGCAGCCCAGGACAAGGCACCAAAGAGATCTGCAGCTTAGCTGCGGGGAGGTGCTGACAGGTGACGCTTGCATGAAATTGTTTGCTGCTGCGTTGGCAGAAATAAAAGAGGGTGAGAAAATATGAAGGAGGCTTCAGAAGTGTCTACTCCTCACTCTACCCGTTGTTTTTGTGTCCTTCATGGAGCCTGGTGAGCCAGAGTTTTTAGGGCAGCAGCCAACCCAGTCTCGGCACAAGGAGAGCTGAGTGAACCGAGCCCCAGACCCGGCTGCTGCAGGTTCCCTCCCTCCCATCATCCATTCTGGACCCCTTCACCCTCAGCCACGTGGCTGCTCCAGGTCACTTGGCTGGTGGGGTGATGCAGACATTCATCCCCGAGGTGTCTGAGCCCACCATCGCCTTGTCCTTGCTGGCCCATGTTTGTGCATTTGCCCCATAATCACTGGGCTAGAAGCATCAAAGGCCACCTCAGCGAGTCCCCTGGATTTCAGATCTATTCTTTCCTACCCTCATGTCGGCAGCAATCCCAGCTCCTCACACTCATCCAAGTCAGTTACTTTTTCCTTTCACTGGCATGAGGCCCTGTAAGGGACCAGGAGGTTATCACAGAGCCCTGTTTTTTCTCCTGGTGGGAGTATTTCCCCTTTGGTGACCAGAACCTCTATTCTAGCAGAGTCTAAGTTTGTGGGGATGAGAAGCAACAATTCTAGAAGGGGCCCTGAGAATACTGGTGAGTTGGCCAATCCTTCTTCCACCCGTGCATGCCGGGCCCAGGTAATTTTAGCTGTTGGGGCCACAGTGCTGTATACCAGTCTTTCATTCAGTGTTTATACCTCATCCTCAAAGACAGTTCCCCCACCCTCAGGGTGTAGCAGAAACTCTATATGCCATCCTATCATTTTATTAGGCTAGATGTGACCTTCTAGAAGAAAAAGAATTGCATGAGATAATGAGGGTATATGTTGGGATTGGCTGGTCCTATGGTCATGTGTCCATGTCACACCCTGTTTACCGTAAATCAAGACCCTCGTGTGAGTTGATGTTATAGGGGACCCCACATCAGTAAGTCATCCAGTCTGTGAGTCCTTGAATAGTGACACCGCACTGCAGTCAGAGAAGGCAAATTCTTACAAGGAAGAATCAGTGCTCCCTCCGGAGAGGAAAGGATCTGGTGTGACAGACGTGCCAGCAGTGGGCTGGCTGGTCTTCTTGCAGATGGAGCCAAATCAAGGGCTTAGCGTGATGTCTCTTGCTGGAAAGTTAGGTGTTCAGCAGCAGTGGTAGCCAGGTCTACCATGTGAGAGGGAGCCCAAGCTGTTCTTGGAATATGTGGTAAAATTCGCTGGTGAAGCCATCAGGTACAGGGCTTTTCTATGTGGGGAGATTTCTGATTACTGATTCACCCTCCTTACCAGTTATATGTCTGTTTATATCTTCCATCTCTTTGTGGCTTCATCTTGGTAGGTTTTGAGTTTCTAGGGATTTGTCCATTTCATTGAAGTCATTCAATTGGTTGGCATGCAGTTAATCGCTCGTAGTTCTCTCTTACAATCCTTTTTATTACTGTAGAATTGGTAGTCATGTCCCCACTTTTATTTCTGATTTTAGTAATTTGAGTCTTGTCTCTCTCTTTTTTAGTCCATCTAGCTAAAAGTTACTTAATTTTGTTGATCTTTTCGAAAAACCAACTTTTGGTTTCATTGATTTTCTATGTGATTATTCTCTATTTCATTTATCGCTGTTTTAATCTTTATTTCTTCCTGCTGCTAGCTTTGGGTTTAATTTGTTCTTTTTCTTTTTCCTTAAGTTGTAAAGTTAGATTGTTGACTGGAGATTATTCTCGTTTTTTAACGTGAGCATTTGAAGCTGTAAATTCCCCTTTAGCTCTGCTTCACTGTACCTTACGTTTTGGTGTGTGATGTTTCATTTTCATTATCTCTAAGTATTTTCGAATTTTCCCTGTGATTTCTCTGTTGATCCATTGGTTGTTTAAGAGCATTGTTTAAATTCCACGAATCTGTGAATTTTCCAGTTTCCTTCGATGTGTCATTTCTAACTTCATCCCATTGTGACCAGAAAAGCTACTTTGTGTGATATCTATCTTCAAAAATCCACTGAGACTTAATTTGTGGTCTGTCTTGGAAAATGTCCCTTGTGAACTTGAGAAGGATGTGCATTCTGTGGCTGTTGGGTAGAATGTTCTGTGTATATCTTTTAGGTTTAGTTTATTATGTTGTTCAAGTCCTCTAGTTCCTCACTTGTTTTCTGCCTAGTTTTTCTTTCTGTTATTATGAGGAGAGTATTGAAGACCCTAAGTATTATGTGGAATATTATATTTGAATTATCTGTTTCTTTCATCAGTTCTGATGGTTTTCGCACCATGTATTTTGGGTCTCTCTTGTTAGATGTGTGTATGTTTGTAATTATTATGTCTTCTTTCTGGATCGACACTTTTATCTTTATAAGATGTCCTATTTTTTTCTCTAGGAATGATTTTGGTTGATATCTCTTCCCTCTGGCTTCCTTTGAGATTTTATCTTTGCCTTTTTTTTTTCACTTTGAATATGATATACCTCGGTGTAGATTTTTTTGGTACTTAAGCTGCTTGGTGTTCTCCCAGCTTCCTGGATCTGTGGATTGGTGTCTGTCATTAATTTTAGAAAATTCTGTCGATATTCCTTCAAGCGTTTCTTCTGTTTCTTGCTGTCTTTCTTCTCCTTTGGATATTCCCAATATCTATATGTTGTACCTTTTGTATTTACAGTTCTTGGATATTCTGTTCTTTGTTTCATTCTTTTTTTTCTCTCTTTTCAGTTTGAGATGTTTCTAATGACATATCTTTAAACACACTCTTCTTGGCTATGTTCAGTGTGCTGGTGATCTCATCAGAGGCATTCTTCACTTGTTACCATGTTTTTTGTTTGTTTATTTGTTTGTTTGTTTAATTCTTAGCATCTCTTTTTGATTCTTACTTAGCATTTACACTTCTTGGCTTACATTACCCATCTGTTCTCGCATGTGTCCCACTTTTTCAAGTAGAGCCATAACATAGTAATCATAGCTATTTTACGTTCTTGATCTAATAATTCCAAAATCTCTGCCATAGCTGAGTCTAATTCCGATGCTTGTTTTCTCTCTTCAGAATGTATTTTTTGTTTGTTTTTGTTTTTGCTTTTTAACACACCTTGTAATTTTTTGTGGAAAGCCAAACCTGATATATTAGTCAAAAGGAACTGAGGTAAATAAATCTTTAGTAGGAGATTTTATGTTTATTTGGGTAAGAGTTAAGCTATGTTTGCTATTTACTGTAGCTATTGTGTCAGAGCTTAAAATTTCCTCTAGTGTCCTATTTTTGGTCTTGGTGTCTGGGTTTCCGCAGAGATTCCTTCTTAAATAGGCCGTGAGCCTTGCAGTTCTTTTGGTTGTAAGTCCCTTTATTACACAGGAACCCGAAAGATGTGGTGGTAAGTGTGGAAGGAGGGAAGCATTTATAATAATCCCGTGACTAGGTTTCATGTTTTCAGTGAGCCTGTCTGTGCCCCTGGGCTGTGTCCTTCACAAGTGCTTCTCAGCTCCCCCGACCTTAGGTGAGACAGGAAAGCTTGTGCGGGCTGGAGACGGGTATTTCCTGTCCCCCTTGTCAGTTAGGTTCTGGTAAAATAGTTCGTCAAAGGCATTGTTCATTTCTATTCCCACGTTTATTTTATTATTAATTTTTAATTTCTAGCATTTCCTTTTGATTCTTTCTCACAGTTTACGTTTCTGCTTATATTGCCCATCTGTTCTTGTGTTGCTCACTTTTTCAATAGAGCCTTCCCTTGAGGGCAAGCCTGTGCTAAGGACAGCAGAAGACCCTGGGTGTGTTTCAAAGTAGTAACTTTTCCCACATCCCTTGCTGGAAGCATGAGGGGATTTTTCTCCAGTCTTTACCCTGAAAATCTGGTGGGGCTCCTGAAGGTTAAGCCTGTGCCCCCAGGAGCCATCTCTCGTGCCAGTTCAAACTCTGTCTCCTGCGGTCAGTCATTGACAGTGACCTCAGAAAGTCTCTGTCTCCACAGCTGGGTGCTGTTACCTGCAGAAGGTGGGTTAGGTTGTGGGCAGGCAAAGGTAAGCGGGTTCCTATGAAGGTCCAGCTCTAATGACAAACCTAGCATCACTCCCCCTCCCAGACAGGGGCAGGCCACCCTCCCCTGAGCATCTTGCTAGTTGAAGAGAGTCGGGAGGCCTCCAGAGTATGGGGAGAGAGGGCCTCAGGGACTCGTGTCCTCCTTCCTCCAGATCCCCGTGTCCATGTGTTCCAAGGACTGTCAGGCTGGGCAAAAGAAGAAGGCCGTGGGCATCCACACCTGCTGCTTTGAGTGTCTTGACTGCCCCGCTGGCACCTTCCTCAATAAAACTGCAGGTACGACTTCTGAGTCCACACCCCTGCCCTGCCCCTGCCCTGCCCCTGCCCTGCCCCTGCCCTGCCCTTGCTCTGCCCAGGACCCTTACCCTTTGGCAGCACCTCTGGAGTCTCCCTGAGGCAAGTGTCCGAAGGCCAGGGACCATATTTGATTCTACTGTATCTCCCCCATACCTGGTGTAGAGAAAAATGCAGGCTGTGTTGGGATGCAGGGTGGATAGGAGAAGGAACAGCATTCAGCCATGCGGGGCCGTAACTGATCCCCATCCACACACACATAGCCCACAGCCAAGGGGTGTCAGGCCAGGGGAAGTCCACTGGATGATAAATGAGTGAATGAATGAATGTTTCTGCCAATAGAAGGAACGTTTTTGGCAAACAGGACATCTCTGGACTCCCAAGTGCCTAGCATAGTTCAAAGCATACCATGTTTGCTCGGTGAATATTTTTCGAATGACTTTTTTGACTAGAAGAATTAACACCTGTCCCTATAGAACATAAACTCCAGGAAGGTGGGGACAATGCCATCTCTCTGTTCACATTGGTGTTTAGCACTGTTCAGAGTTGGGGCTCAGGTTATTTCTTTGATGACTTCACTGATTAGTAAATTAAGTGGATGCATACGTCTACCAATCAAAGTACTTGCTATGTACCCAGAAGAGCACAGGGCACAGAGTAGGTGCTCGCAAAAGTTTGTCGAATGATTTTGCTGGCCTTCCTCTCCTAACTGCTCAATAGCCTGAAGACAGGGGGCTGGGTCTGTCGCCTCCCACCACAGGTGCCTATCACAGTGGATGACACTCAAAACAATACTTGTTGAATGAATTATTTGAATAAATGGTTGTTGACTTCCTCTCCCACCAGAGAGTGAGGTCTTGGAAGGAAGGAATTACAGTTGTTAGTCTCTAAGTCAAGGAGACCGTGGTTCAGTTCCTGCCTCTGTAACTTACTGGCTTCGTGACCTTACCTGGCTGAGCCTCCGTTTCCTTCTCTGTGAAATGGGGTTGCTGTGAGCATTTGATGAACCAGTGGGGGTAAGGGACTTAGTGAATGTTGGCTGTGACTGCAGGGTTGCACTTAGCTCTCTCTCTCTCTTTCCCCCTGGGGCTTGGCTTAGTGCAGGCCTGGAGGATGTAGGTGCTTGGTGGGTGGGTGTGACTGATGAGAGGTGCTGTGTGCTCTTGCAGATGAATTTGACTGCCAGCCCTGCCCAAGTAACCAGTGGTCCCACAAGAAACACACCTCCTGCTTCAAGCGGCAACTAACCTTCCTCCAATGGCATGAGGCATCCACCATTATTGTGACCATGATGGCTGCCTTGGGCTTCCTCTGCACTCTGGCCATCCTCATAATCTTCTGGAAGCACTTCCAGACGCCCGTGGTTCGTTCAGCTGGGGGCCCCATGTGCTTCCTGATGCTGATACCACTGCTGGTGACATACACGTTGGTCCCCGTGTACATCGGGCCGCCCACAGTCATCACGTGCCTCTGCCGCCAGGTCCTGTTCACGCTCTGCTTCACCATCTGCATCTCCTGCATCACTGTGCGCTCTTTCCAGATCGTCTGCATCTTCAAGATGGCAAGCCGCCTCCCACGTGCCTACGGCTACTGGGTGCGCTACCATGGGCCCTACCTCTTTGTGGCGTTCATCACGATGCTCAAGGTAGTCATTGTGGCCGTCAGCCTGCTGATCACAAACATCAGCCCCACCGCCCGTGCCGACCCCGATGACCCCAAGATCATGTTCATATCCTGCAATCCCAACTACCGCAAGGGGCTGCTGTTCAACACCAGCCTGGATCTGGTCCTCTCCGTGGTGAGCTTCAGCTTTGCCTACATGGGCAAAGAGCTTCCCACCAACTACAACGAGGCCAAGTTCATCACCTTCTGCATGATCTTCTACTTCGCCTCCTACGTCTCCCTCTGCACCTTCATGTCTGTCTATGAGGGGGTCCTGGTCACCATCCTGGACCTCTTGGTCACTGTGCTCAACCTCCTGGGTATCAGCCTAGGCTACTTTGGCCCCAAGTGCTACATGATCCTCTTCTACCCAGAGCGCAATACGGCAGCCTATTTTAATAGCATGATACAGGGCTATACTGTGGGGAGGGACTAGCTCTGCCCACTGGGACGGAGGGCCTTGGCGTTGGGAGATGGAGGCGAGGGGGTTGGCTTGTTCAACTCCAGATGGAAGGGGAAGCCATATTGACTATGACCACTTTGCCTTGTTGTCTGATTTGCCATCCCTTCGAGGTTCTCTGCGTCCTGCCCATTTTTACCCACCTAGTGATGGATGCCTAAAAATATTCACTCTTTGTTCCTTTCCCTGAGGCTATTTAGCTTGCCAGGCACTGCCACCCCATTCTAGAAAAATGACCCAAGGTGACCTATTGCTGGCCAAAGACTGAGTCTGATTTAGCAGCCTACAGCTGCCATCTGGTGGTCACAGCAGGTATCTGCAGGTTCCGGCTCCTCTTCACTGGCGCTCATGGCTGGGCTGGGGTTGATGTGGAGGATGTGAGCTCACATCATGCTGCCCCGGCGTCATTCACTAGCTGCCCACGTGTCTGTGTCTCATCTTCGAGATTCCCCCACGGCTCGGGCCCACACTTCTGTGTTATCTCTGAGTAGTGGGTGGCTCGATGGGCGCTTCCTAAATGCTCATGAATAAACCTCACTTGGGTGAAACGAATGAGTTTCCTTTTTGTCTCCAGAGGTCCCCTGAGAAAGAACATGTGGAATCAGAGGGGCCTGGGTTCGGACCCCAGCGTTGCCACTCCTGAGCTGTGTATCTTGGGCCAATCCTTTATTGCCCCTGAGCCGACACTTCCCCATCTCTGAAACGGGAACAATAGCTGCTTCGCAAGGACATTTAAGGGTCAGAGACAATGTGTGTAAAGTGCACATAGTAGATACTCAATAAATGCAACTACTGCAAACCCACATGACCCTGGAACCATCAGGGACAAAATAAGATTGTGTTTCCTTTTTATACCGAAATGACCATGGTATACGCTCTAGTCCATGGCACTAGTCTCTCTTGGGAATTAGCCCATCCGTGCAAATTCCGGGTGTTGTCTTGGGGGTACCTGGGCCTCGTATGTGCCCCAGAGCCAGCGTGTGCCCCAGCACCGTTGCCTTGCTGTCGACGCTGAAACTCGGAGAAGCTGCGCTGCTGAGTGCGGCAGTGTGCATGCTGACCGCACGCCATTGTGGGCGCCAGTGGCAGGAGGGGCCTTGACTTTCCTATCCAGGGACCAGACCTGGCCTCTCATAGCTCACCAGGGAGCCAGAAGTCTAGAAGCTGCGGCCTTCTCAGAGCTCCCCTGCAGGATCCAACTGCCACTGCTTATTTGCATCGCTTATTTGTCTCTTCTTTGTGCTGAATTTACCTTTTTCATGCTTCAAGGGTGTGGATAGTGGGATCTTGGCTTGAATCATCTGGGATTTCGGGGAGCGACTTTCCTATTTTTGGGCCACTTCTCCATAATGGCAAGGACGGTCCCTGTGTCTCTTCTCGTCCATAATGGCAAGGACGGTCCCTGTGTCTCTTCTACGAGCCTCTTTCCAGAGCCTGGCACTTAGGTGCTCCGTGAATATGGATGGAGCGGCTGAGTCACTGTCAGATTCTTTCTCTTTCTCCTCACCACCTGTTCCCTCAATGCACTGCATTATTAATTCAGTTCATCTCCCACGGCCTTGGGTGTGGAGTAATGAGACGTAGTCAGAAATAGTCGGTGCTTACAGTCGATGAGGAAGGACAATAGGTCGGGGTCACGAGACGTAGTCAGAAACACAGAACGCACGTCGGTGCTTACAGTCGATGAGGAAGGACAATAGGTAACGTTTGTACCTTCTTTAAGAGCTTTGCTGCTTCATCCATTTATTCCTTACAGCACTCTACTCGTTGGGTACTGTTAGGATCTTTACAGACGGGGCTGTAAAAGGGACTTGAAATGATTACAAAACTTCCCCAGCCCCACACAGCCCACTCCTGGAACCACGACTCTCGGTGGAGTAGGACCCAGACAGCCCTGCCTGGAGAGCTGATGCAGGCGGGGGACCCTCAGTCACGGTGGGGTCTCGGTCTCTCCAGCCAAGGCACTGTGGTGTGCCAGGGGCTTCAGATTCCAGGGAGATGGTTGGTGGAGGCAGTGACCAGGTTAGACTGCGGAGGGCAGCCGGCGTTTGGGAAGAGCATTGGAGGATGGTGAAGTGTTTGGAAGGCAGGAAGTTGGGGTGTGGGGGAGGGTCAGGGGGCCAGCAAGCACAAAGGTGGGGTGCAAAGAGGCCGGGGTAGCTCCAAGTGGGAGCACGTGGTTGAGGGCGGTCAGGCTGTGAGAACTCAGCTTGGAAGGATAGCTGGGGCTAGACATGGAGGACCCTGAGCTGGGCGTCTGGACCTTGTCCTCCTTGATGGCCACTGCTAGGGTCAGTGCATAGGCTGGGCTTGCCTCTTTCCCGGGTCACCTGAGGTGCCGGCCACCCCTCTTCCCTGTGGCCAGCCTCCTCTTTGACTGGGTCCTTTTCCCACAGTCCTGCGTGTTGGCCTGGCCTGGTGTGCGGGGGACCATTGGGAGAAGACTCCAGGGTCAGGCTGTTGGTATGAGCATCGCTTGTCTGTCCCCTCCACTTGCTTCCCAGGGGAGCCCAAAGCCTCTGCTGAGACCCCGCCCACCCCTGAGCTTCCGGGGAGCAGCTCTGCACCGTCTGTTCCCAGATGTTCCTATGTCCCGTCCCCTTCGCCCTCGGGACCAGATTGTCAGAGGATCAGTGAGTTTTAAGCTCTTAATTCTCTTTTCTTGCATGCTTCTGATGCCTTGGTTTAAATTTTTTTTAAGCGATAATGACCTCATTTTCCTGGTTGTGCCTCACAGAGCGCCATTAGAGAGAGAATCCTGGAATCCCACGGGCCTCGGAGGCATCTGCTCCACACCTCTTTTTAGAGCTGCTTTAGCTGAGATCTTAATCTTTTCTTGTTTCCCTCCAGTGATGGGAGGCTCACTGAGGACAACACCAGGTATTAGACAATTCTTTTTAGATTGAATCAAAACCCAGCTATCTGGAGTTTCATTTATGGACACTAGTTTTATCCTTTGGGACCACAAATGAAATCTCATTCTTCTTTGTCATGACAGCCTTTTATATGTAACAACAACAACAGCAACAACAAACTGCCTTTCAAGAGGCACTGACTATGTGCCAGGTGCTTCACACAAGTTGTCTCTAATCCCCACAGTGACCCTGCCTGATGGGTCAGTGATGGTGCGTGGATAATTCCCAGCATCCCCTTCTCTCCCCACTCCCCAGAGCCCCTGTCCTCAAGGCAAGGTCTATGTGGTCTCAGGGAAGCTGACTCTGTGTCCTGGCTCTAGGGGTGGAGCAAGTGACCTAGGCCAAGCCAACCTGTACACACCCTTTCCCTGGCTACAGTGACCGGCTCAGGGGTGGGCACAGCACCTGGGTACGTCCAATCAGAGGGCCTCGGGACTTCCATTGGGACAAGGATTCTTACTCTAGGAACTAGCAAGGTTATGGACCCAGACACAGGGTCCTTGGAACCTTTTGAGCTGATGGATCTTGCCTGAAGGCCGTCCTACTCTGAAATCTTTCATTTCATGAGTCCATTAATGTCCCCTATTGTTTAAGCTAGTTCGAAGTTGGGTTTCCTGCCACTTGCAACCCAATAGGTCCTTATCCTGCTAAAAAGGAAACCGAAGCCCAGAGATTCTGGTTAACATGCTCAGGGGAACCCAGCTCCTAAGTCGGGCAGCCAAGATTTAGGCTCAAGGGGGAATTGGGGGTGCACAGCAATTGTGATCTCCTTGATCCTCTCTCTCTCTCTCTCTCTCTCTCTCTCTCTCTTTTTGTCTAAAGGTCCTCGATTGCCTTAGAACCTGATTTTGACCGTCAGCTTGGAAGGATAGCTGGGGCTAGACACGGGAGACCCTGAGCTGGGCGTCTGGACCTTGTCTTCCTCAGTGGCCACTGCTAGGGTCTGTGCACAGGCCGGGCTTGCCCTTGACCTTGGACCATCCCAGTCCTCTCCTTGGATACACTGACCTAGAAACTTCTCTCTTAGGCCGCCTGTCAAGCTTTCCTCTCCTTCGCCCCTGTCATCCTTCCCAAATCCATACTCTGGCCGGCCGAGGGACGTCCCCTTCACCGAACCAGAGTCACAGGCCTTCCCTGCTCAGAAACCTTGGGCGGCTCCCCAGCGCCTGCACAAGAAGGCTGCACCTCTTTTGTGTGCCATTCAAGGCCCTTCAAAATCTGGCCCCTGCTCTCCCACCCAGCCTCATCCCCCAGCGTCCCAGGTACGATGCCTGGTCTCACACCTGGTCTCACACCTTTCAAGCTGCCCCTGCTCCTGCTCTCTTATCCCCTGGCGGGTTTGTGTTCACGCCCTAAGGCCCAGTTCAAATGCCCCCTCCCTTGGGAAGACTTCCCTGCCTTGGGGCTGAGGGAGGCCTTTGTGTTCCCATAGCTGGTCGAGCTGAACCCCTGTGGGTCTCAGCACTTGTGAGGGGACCGCTCGCTGCCTTTCCTGCCGGGGAGGGCAGGCTCTGTCCTCGGTGCAGCCGTTTTCTTACCTGTAGTGTCACCTTTGCTGCTGGAAGCACTGAGCCCTTGTTGGCTGGGCAGTGAAATGCCTTTGCAGGGCTGGTACAGATCTGGCAGGAGCTGGTGGGAACCTGTGGGGAGGGAGCTGGCTGCCATTAGGGCCCTGGGGCCAGGCTGAGCTAAATGCTGTTTTCCCCGGTGCCTGGGGCTGCAGGGGGAATGGAGGAGATGGCGGAGGAGAGCCAGAACGCCTGAGCGGGACCTCCCAGGCGAGGACATGTCTGTAGTAGACTCACCGACATTGCTCCGCGGCTCCGACCAGAAACCTCTGCATCGTCCCTGACTCCTCTTTCTCCCTCATCCTACATCCTATCTGTCAGCAAAACTATTGGCTTTGCCTTAAAAACACCTGGTTTCAGCCTGGGTTCCAGCAGCAGCCTCCTTACTGGCCTCCCGCTTTCTGACCTTGCCCCCGCGGTGTCCAGAGTGGTCCCTTAAAAATCTAAGTCAGTTCGTACCCTTCCTTTGCTCAGCACCTCAGGGTTCCCCACC